CTCGGGAAGGCTTGCAACTAGCTATTAAGCTATCAGCGACGTTGGTTTGCCAACTTTGCCACCTCTTTAATCGTTACATCGAATTTTTCTGGCTAAATTGTTGCCATAGCCTGATAGCAGTGTTTTCTAACCCTAATCAAACCTTATAACATGAATCTTACCAAAAAAAATTACTGAATCCTTGAATTTTGAAAAATTTTACGAAAAATTTTACTAAAAATTGTTTTTACTAGATTTTTATCCCAATTGTCGAAATTTTACCAAAAGTTAAAAAATTTACTGAATCTGGTCACACTGCTCATTAACCCCCACATTAAATGGTGCTGCACCAGCTTTTTTTTTTCAATCCCCAGAGGGCCAGCTCAAGCTAAGCTCACTGAGTATGGGCTTGTGGGAAAGATCAGAATTGTGTCTACTTGGACCCCAAGACAGGTTGGACTGTTAGAAATAAAGAACTTTATTATATGGCACGCGGTCTCGTGACTAAAATGGCGTGCGCTGATTGGTTCTTTGCGGGTCTGGAATCCTCCAGTATTAGACCGTTGCCGTAGTAACAGTCCAACTTTCATATTTTTGAACAAAAACAAGCTTGCACTTTTATTTTTGACATGAAAAATATCGACGGAGAATGGAGGAAGAAGAGCATTTATATTTGGTACATGTGAATATTAATATATTTATTTTGTATATATTACTGTATCATTCTTTATATTTAACGAGTGAAAAACTTTTTTTGGAAAAACTTCAGTTTTGGAAGCCGCTTCAGTGCTTGCTTGGCAACTGGCTGGCGAAAGAGCCAGCAAGAATGCTGCAGCGCATTGTATAAATAAATAAACTAAATACTGTATGCCATATAATAAATCCCTTATTAACCGAATACGTTCGGTCCGTACTGGAAAAATATCAGACCTCGGTCTTTTATGTCCGCATCATGTGTTGCATCATGTAGTAGTTGAATAATTTATTTAAAGAAATAAAGGAAGGGTATTAATATGGTGACATAAATTCCTTGATAAAAATTTATATAATAAAATTTGTATAAATTTATATAATAATTAATTGCATAGGTTGATTTAAGTCATGATGAACCTTCACATGTACAGCCACAGATACCAAATTCTGAGAGGGAAACAATTACCTTTGATAGTAAACCAAGTAGTCCTCAAGTAGTGAAATTCTACAAAGATTGGAAATTGATTTATGGGGGTCTGCCTTATCTCACAGGTTAATTAGCAGCTTATCTTAATTGTGCATTATTTGTTTAATAATTTATAATAATTATATTGAATTTATGATTATTCATATTAACACTTGTTCGCAGATCATATGTATCCCTGCTTGATGATGATTGACTCAGCGATGATTCTGATGATATTCTTTCGCATGCAGCTTTGGAGGAAAGTCGAAGGTGTATATATCAGCTAGTGTCTTTTTGATAAAATTTACCCTGAACATTACTTGTCTATATCAACATGCTTTTGAAAAAATTTACATCAGTTACATGGGAAAAACATGTATACAGTATCAAATTTGTGGCATGTACTGTGCGTATTAAATATTTTGCACAACTACCCTTGTTTCACACAGTATATTGCCAAATTTTATTAAAAACTGACTTATTTATTTTAGAGAAGTTGTTGTTCCATGTCAGTCAATTAAGGACATTCTCAAAGCTCATATCAATGATGTAATGTCTCCAGAAGAAGGGAGAATTATATAAATGTTCGGCGAGCACATGTCCTTGAAGATAGTATAGCCAAGATTTTAGGCTCTAGGAACAAAGACAGAAGAAGAGTTCCTGGAATTAACCCAACAAGATGATTTCCTAGATATGTTGGGCGCTTGTGGTTTATCCGCACAACCTTCCTTTGGTGATAAGGATAAGCTTCTGAGTATGGTTGCTCGATATTTTAACACATGTGATAATATTTGTATAATTTGTCTTTCATTTTTGTGCAGATAATGCACAATGTGTCTGCTCAGAATCCAGTGACATCAAAGAATGGCTAGACAAGCCACTTAGCCGTACAGCATTGAAAAGAAAAGCAGAATCTGATATAGAAGAAATTATTGAAGATAGCTATGATATAAATAAATGCATAACATCCTGCAAGAAAACAACAGTTGATGAAACTGTTCCATGCCAGTTATTTACTGTATGCCGCACTGATGGTATTGAGGAAATGAAGACAGATATTTTGAGCACGTAAAAATATGGAGCATTATTCATGTCAAAAAGGTCATTCGGTGTGCACCAGTCATTATATTATTTCAACATGACATTATGATATTTCAACATGATATTATGACATTTCAACATGACATTAGACATTATGACATTCTGTGCACGCATGATCGCCTTGCACACTTGCACACCCAATGTACTTCCGTTGTAATACTTCATGTAGGACAAACATTGAGAATTGGGCAACATTTTTTGCGATTGTCAAATATGGCTGCCAGAGAAGCAATAAGTGCTGAAATTGCGAATATGCTGCAGGAAATCTCTCGCAAATTGAATGGATTTCTAAGAAATGATGAAATTGAGTACATTGTATTTCAGATAGAATTGAAACTATCTTATCCCTTTGTATGCAAACAATGGAGGTTAATCATGTTGCGTTGTCCAAGATATCAGAAGCCAAGTATTTGTTGCTATCATTGTGTTCCAACGTCTTGGACGAGGAGGTAACAGGCGATATTTCAGGTGTTGGCAAAATATTTAGCGGAGACCGTGGTAGACCACAATACAATATTACCAAAGAACAGTTGGAGTATTTCATAGACTTTGGCTTTAGTGCACGACAAATATCCACGCTGCTGGGCGTAAGTGAAGCTACAATCAGGAGGAGATATCGTGTTTATCAGTTGTCGTCTAAACGCTACACCGATATTAGTGATGAACAACTGGACGAAGAGATAAGAAATATAAAGGAAGATTTTCTCCAGAGTGGGTACCGAATCGTTTCTGGTATTTTAAGAGCCAAAGGTATTTCAGTTCAAAATCTATGTGTTATGGAATCAATGAGAAGGGTTGACCTCGAAGGGGTTATTGCGCGCTCGTTACACCTACAGACTATTCATTGAAGGAAGTACAAAGTTTATGGCCCTGGAGCTTTGTGGCACATTGATACCAATCATAAGCTAATAAGGTGAATTTTTTTGAATTTAGTATAATTTATTTAGCACATTGAAGGTAATATTTGTTATTGCAAATGGCATGCTGAATTACTTTCTGCTGTTACAAGCAGGCTTATTATTAAGGCAAAAGAGACATTACATGTAAGTATTATAATGCATTATTAATGTTCATTGTATCTAATTCTGCATTATGATAAATCTTTAAGGTGGCGAATCGTTATTTTTGGAGGCATTGATGGTCATTCTCGAGTTATTACATACCTTTCATGCCACAACAACAATCGGGCTGAGACAGGACTAAATGAATTCTTAAAAGGTGCTGAAAGTTTTGGACTTCCAAGTAGAGTTCGAACTGATCAAGGAGGAGAAAATGTTGCAATTGCAAGATTCATGCTGTCACATCCAGAAAGAGGTCAAGGTCGTGGAAGCCATATCACTGGCAAAAGCGTCCACAACCAAAGAATTGAGCGACTGTGGCAAGATGTGTACTATGCTTGTTCATTTAAGTATCACTGGTTATTTTCGTTCATGGAAGACCAAGGAATTCTCAACATTAATGACGATATCTACCTGTTTTGCCTCCACTACATTTTTATTCCTTGCATTCAAAAACACTTAACTGACTTTTTGAACGGATGGAATCAGCACGGTCTGGCAACAGAAGGAAACAAAACTCCAATGCAACTTTGGATTAAAGGAATGTTTGCACTGTCCAACAGTTCTCATAGAGTGTCAAGGGAATTTTGGGAGCCCAATACGAGTGTGAGTACATGTATTACAAAGTCTAGCATGAAAGGATTAACTAAGTTGACTTTTTTTCTATTAACAGGAAGAATTGTCATCATATGGGATAGATTGGGATAGTCCATTGCCATCACAAGAGTGGGGTAGTTTGCAAGATGACATTATTGTGCCTGAAACTGTGTTACCATCACAAGTAAACACAGCTTTTCAAAACATGCAAGCAACGGTAGACCCTATGGGAGAAACATCAAGTTATGGAATTGATTTGTTTGAAGAGGCACTTTATCATTTATTACAATGATAAGCAGATAAACTATAACTTGAGTTACCATCAAAGTTTTCTAACATTTAAAATATCAACATTTTAAACTAATGTTGCCTAACATTAGCCTACCTTGTAAGGTTCAAACGCTATAACATAGGTTACCTAACATAAAATATAAATAACAGAACTGAAGACATAAGTACCTTTGTTGATGTTTGAGTCAGTATTTAATGTACTGCAGCTGGAATATCACATAAAATTCATAAAATGCAAGTGGGTGGTAACATGCACTAGGAAAGCCTCGATAGTTGGTCTGCAACAAACTTCAATTTTCAAATTATATGAGACCATTTATCATATATGAGACCATTCATCAACTAAGGTAATTAGTCACCTTGAAAGTCTATCTTCGTGTGATATCAATAAACCACTGTGCTGGACAGTACATGTTCTATAACAAAGCACTTACTACTATGGATAAATTGTTAGAAGCGTCCATAGCCCTCTGCACCGGAAGACAGTGCAATTATGAAGTTCTTTTTGAAATCCACATATGACTTGCAAGCAGTTGATAATATAACCCTGTTAAAGCAAGCATCAGCTTCTGGCAGGATTCTTTCTGCTTTGTTGTGAAACACAATTTGAAAGTCTTCTAATGGGTCAATAATTGGAGAACCAGTGAAAAAAACAACCAGAGAATATAGGTATGTCTTTCCCGTATTATCATCTAAAAATCCAAACAAACATAGTTTTTCTCAGCAGACTAAATTGAAGTACATTGTCAACAGGCATCTTATGCAAATATGGTAAATGACAAATGCCTTCAAACTACTGTAGCTACGGTATTACTTTACGGTAATTTACCAAATAAATCGGAGACTTCATCAAGAAATTTCATGAGCCATTCACATGTTTTGTCCTCATTTGCAGCATCATCACTATTCAAATCTCTTGAATTGCGATGCTTCTTCATTGCGTCACTTAATTTCCTCTTTAACAATTCTACATCAACAACTGCTTCTTCAATTGAAGGCAGAACAACCTCTTTGAAGATTGGGTATTGTCTAAGTAAGTTACCCAATCCCAGGTGGTTTAGACCTCTGAACATTGAATCAAGGGCAGCAGTTCTGGTTACAAGCACCTCTGCCACTAAGAGATCTTTTACAGCCTTCTCTTTGTTTTTGTCTGTGAGAGAAACATCAGTCAAACCATGCTTTACCAACAAACCTTCCACAAGGTCTTTAGCATTGGGATCAATTTCACTAACACATGTATTAATCACCTGCAGACACAAACAACAACTGTTTTACTATCTACAATTCACATTTAATTTTAGAATTCTAATCTTAATAATTATACCTTTAAAATGACCCTTAGGTAAAGAAAAAAATAGAGTGCAAACCTTTTCATCTTGTAAAATTTTCAAGTCAATATCTAGCAGATCACTGGTGGTAACCACTTCTTTTGCTGCTTCTAAAGACCCATTAGTCAAATACTTCACAATAGCTGGAGACAAGCCAATGAAACCAGGGCCGTCGTGCAACACACTGTGTGCTACAAGTTTTCCAACCATTTCGAAGCAACCAGATGCAACAGCATCTACACCACAAATAGGAATTAAGTGTCCTAGTTTACCACCAAACAGTTGTATATTGAATGCTGGATCCATTCTTGTTAATGATGAAATAGCAATGTGGAAGTACTCCTTTGTGGGCCCACCCATGTCTGCACCATATTCATTTGAAAATACAACATCTGGCATTTTTTTTAAATTTAACTTTGGATCTTTGTATATCTTCATTAACTGGCGAAGCAAGGAAAGTTGCATTCGGTTAATCTCAATGTGCTGGGATCCAAGATCTGCTAGTATTTGTTTTTTGTAAAAAAGGAGAACATCAATAACAGTCTTTAGAGAATCTCTGTCAATGGTATCTAAAAGTATGCAAAGGAAGAGTAAATTAAAAGTTTTTCCATACATTCATTAACCTAGCTATTAATGGCTGACTGTGAGGAAAAACATGAGTGCATTAACCAGAAAAATAGGGATATACTGTAAATTACAGTACTTCATAATTTTGTGTAAGTGAGGGATTTCAGTAAATGTGAGGATCTTTGTCGGACATAGCCCCAACCACCTACCCCCTTCTCCCTAGCCCACTCAAACTTTACAACATCATGAGTTAAAACAGGGAACAATTTTTCTTAATGTTTTTATAAGACTGCACAGCTATTTAAAAATTAAACTTTACAATATGAATACTGTATGCAATACCTGTAGCACTGTTACTACTTTGTCCTTCATCAGAAAATACTGCTGGGAGTTCCTTAGTTTTAAACTCTCCATACATTTCTGTAGGTAAAATGTTGATAAAAACATGCAATTTGGTATGCAGTATTTAGCAGAGTTAAAATTATGATAATAAACTATGATTAATAATATTGCATACCTTCATCACTACAAAAATCATCTGTGCAACCTGCCAACTTTGCTGCAGCATTGTTGACATCTCCCTCTACTGATAAGAGAGCTTCCTCGATAGTCTTTATGTCCACATGGGGAAACATTTCCCTCAGTCTCGTAGTATCCTACAACAAATTCACAATAGCCAACGTTTATCCTAAAGGTACTATGTAGGTTTTTTCTCTTGACTAGCAATGTAATTGGGGGTTATAGATACAGTTATAAAGATCTACAAATAAACATCAATTAATGTAAGCTAGATTAATTCAATGAAACCTGGTTGACCAATACGGACATAATCATGGATTCTTACCCCAAGCAGTTACCATACACAATATAATAATTTTCTAAGAATCCTGTAACAATAGTCGCAATAGTCAAACTTGTCTATGCACCTTGTTATTTATTTCTTCCTTTGGTTTCACCTCACTCCCCACAGCAACTGCCAAATGGGCTGACTCTTGAATTGCATCATCAACGACAATAGGACTAGCATCACAGTTTGAGCTGTGGTTCTTTAGAAGGGAAATTAAGATGGATTTGCCACATATGTCACATGGAGCTGAGGGTGCACTTGATAAATTGATTTCACCTTCAATTGCCTTAAAAAAAATGTATTCATATATGTAGCAAAAAGGAATATTGGTAGAGACTTGCAGGACAAGCAACTATTAATTATTTATATAGTACAGTATAGGCTGCAGGTATAGCCCTATGCACTAACAAATTGACTTAAGTTACCGTGGTAACGGGTGCTTCATCAAGATCTTTTTGTATGGGTCTTATGTATCCAATAGCCTGGCCCAAAGATTCTTTAATAAAAGGGACTGTGTAGCCCATTGGAGGAATTGGTAGTACTTCGAGAGATCTTCGATTGCCACTTGATCTTGCAATTTCAAAAGCGCCATTTGTATCGTTCAATTTGGGAAAGGCTTTCTCTAATACAGACTTGACATGATTCCAAGCACCTCTCTTGTCATTGAATATAACTTTTTTCTCGCCCAACCCAGCATTCTGTAGACTTTTTTTTTCTTCTCGTGAGGGTATTGTCTGATAATCTTTCTTGGAGAGACACACGAATTGATGCGTCCAGGTATCTTTTACTTTATAAGGTTTCCAACGAGATGATGAACTAGAAACACTATAGCCTGGGGGGTTGGTGGATTTGGATCTAAACATTGGGAACAACTTTGGCAGCTCATTCAAGCTTACGTTTACGTTCGATGTCGATGCTACGGCAGGAGATACCGTTGAGCTGGATGGTGTTGGCCTATTGGTAGTGGTACTGTTCACATTTTCATCATTTTTTTCACTCAAAAGAATATTCACAGCTTCACGTGCTGCATCGCTTATAAGCTGCATTGTTCTCTCTCTCTTTTCCGCCATTTTGAACACAGTTAGTCACCTAATTTGTTTGTCCTACATGAAGTATTACCAGTTACCACGGAAGTACATTGGGTGTGCAAGTGTGCGAGGCGATCATGCTTGCACAGAATATCATAATGTCATGTTGAAATGTCATAATGTCATGTTGAAATATCATAATGTCATGTTGAAATAATATAATGACTGGTGCACACCGAATGACCTTTTTGACATGAATAATGCTCCATATAAAAAAACCTACGCACAAACCTGGTTGCAAGACCTTGAGGTTCACAAAATTTTTTTTTTGCTCAGGCCCATTGCGCTGAAAATCGTTAGAAAACGTTCCTTGTAGCATTGGCTTAAAGCTTTGATTCATTGGAGCCTACTCAAAATGAACTGAAGAACTTCCAAGTAGCAATCTACCCCATGGTAAATTGATTGACGAATTATTTGGACAACTGTAAATCGTCTTTCAAGCAGAAAATTCAACTGTTCATTAGGGATGTTAAACTTTGGCCTTTCAAAAGAGCCAGTAAAAATTCCTTCAGTTCTACCACAATTTACTACTTCACACAAATAGCTTAACTGACCCAATGCTTCCAAAATGAGGTTGACCACATCGAGCTCAATGAAATTGCCCTCATGATACCTTGTAACTAAATTCAACAACCATTCTAACCTATAGTGAGCATTCTCAACATGGCCATTCTCATCACCACGTAACCCCAGTTGGTGAAAGATACTAAAAATGCAGTCCCTAACTCGGCTTCTCACGACAGCTCTAACGTCTTCTTCCCTGTGTTCACGTACAGCTAAAGGGTCTTCATCCATTTCCTCACTCACTGCATGTTAAGGGTTCACATTTCTTCATTTTGTTTTCTACAGTCTCTGTTCCAGTGTTGCGCGGTTAGCAACCAAAATTCGTTCACTGAGCATCATGCATAAGGTTACGTCACCATAATGAAATACGAAATCAAATATCAAAATGCATAGTGTCAGAATGAAATGTCGGATTCAATTGCATAATGTAGTGTACCGAATTAGGAAGACAAAATGTAATACGAAATAGAATAACAAAATTCAATGTGTGATATTGAAATGCTTTTTATAAATACACAATATACATGTTTAATTATGGCGGTAATCACCCCTTATAGATGTGTGAAGCAAACACTGCTCCTTGCTATACAAATATCACTAAAAATGAGTTAGATGATTTCTGAAATAAAGCATTCTCATCCAGACATTGATGAAACTATGCTTACAGGGCACCTCCGAGCACAAGGAATAAAAGTTAAGAGGGCTTCATTGAGATAATTGCTTCATAGAGTAGATCCTGAAGGTGTTGCTGAAGTTAGACAGGGTTGTCTTCGTCATCGTATTTATGATAATCCAGGACCAAATTATGTATGGCATATTGATGGAAATCATAAACTTATTCGTTGGGGAATAGTTATCCATGTAGCAATAGATGGATTCAGCAGATTAGAAAGATTTGCTGAGGCCTCTAACAACAACCTATCCAGTACTGTTTTCCATCATTTTCAAAAAGCTGCCTCACAGTTTGGTCAGCCAGCACATGTGAGATCAGATCATGGAGGAGAAAATGTCTTGGTATGGCAGCACATGGCTGCATCAAATGGCCCAGACAGTGTGATTGTTGGCAGTTCTGTAAGGAATCAACATGTAGAAAGGTTTAATCTTGATCTTAATGTCAATGTAACAAGACAATTTGCTGCCGTTTTTAGAGATCTTGAGTTTGAAGGACGTTTAAATGCTACAAATGAAACTGACCTATTTTGGTTACAATACATCTATTTACCAGGAATAAATAGAGTCTTGCATCGGTTTATAGCAGGACATAACCATCATGCTATCTCCACAGAGGGCTCTGCAACACCAACACAACTATTCCATGCTAATCATCATTTAACTCAGCTATATAGTTCATATGTTCACATTGCTCCTTATCCAGTATTAAATGTGAACAACTTACTAAATAATCCTCATGAGCTTCCATATGTTGACGTTCAGGCCAGACCATGCCGTTGGTGTCAGAAAAGTTGGCTGATTTGCAGTAGTTAGTTAATCCGCTTGGTCCATCTGCATGTATGGGAAAATATTTGTTTGACAGGACTGTAGAATTTGTAGCACAATCTTTGCTTGAATGATTGTAAATAGCTGATATGGCTGATTTTTTTGGGTTATATATGCTCATCATGTATGTGTTAACCAATCTTCTTTAAAATTGGGTTTCCCAATTGTATTGTTACAGCAACTTTAATGACAATGCACGGTAAGGGTCGAAACTGGAGCGATATTTGGGGGCGGCGTATATTCATATATTCGATTCTGCCCAGCTGATTTTAAAAAACACATATACGTACAAAACAAATCTGCAAGGCTGAACCGAATATATGAGTATACACCGTCCCCAAATAAGGCTATAGTTTCACCCCTGTTCATGACTATGACTAAAATTTATAGATTACACATAACATGTAATCCCAGCCAAGTTTTATTTACATTTTAAAAAAGATCAAGTAGAGACTGTGATCGTTGTGAATTTGAGGCACCGTAGTCCCCGAGCGGGCGCGGAGCGCCTGCGAGGGTACTAATTCCGCTCAGAGATTAGGAGTTACACCCGGAACCCGGTAGAACATAGCCGAATCCAAAGTTGTCCAAGTTCTTTGTCATGGACGGTCGACGTTGGCAACCTCGTACCCAGGGTCTTTACTCTACTCGTTGGGAGAAAAGACCCTGGTTGGGGCTGGTCACATGTCACGCTGAAATTTGATAGTCCAAGGGGGAGTAGGGAAGATATCAAATTACATGCTTCCACATGGTGTGTTCTTTTCCTATCTTTCGCCATGTTGGACTACATTGCTTTTTTG